GCCAGAAATTGAAGCTATGTGGTGCTGATAAACCCAAAGATGAAGAAACAATAATTATCTACTCCCGGGTTTGGGGCGGGGGGAGTTTCCCCTTTCAGTGATTTGATGTTTAAGGTAAAATCCGGAGGTCGCCCTCTCCTCAAATTCCCATATGTGGATGTGCCACTTAGAAGAGAAATTTTAACTGCTCATTGCCAAATTCATCACAAAGGAACCAGAGCTTCCGTCCGGGAACCTCGAAAGAAAACAAATGTCCATGGAGAATACTTCAAACACACCTATCTGTCCCTGAATGAGCCGAGAAGCACTGAAAGCGAACACAGCAGTAACTGCACAGCGGCAGCAAAACGTGAATCCAGGCTTGAGGGTGCCAGTGGTCCTAACGGAGTGCCCGGCTAAACTCAGAGGGGATGTGACACAAGCCGCGGAACAGCAGGCGAGGGGACTACTTCACTGCAGTCCACCGCAGCGTCAAAGACAAAGTCCTACTCCTGAGGCCCAGAGCACGAGGACACAGAGGGCGGTCACGGTGACTCTGTGACACGTCTCTGTGTACACAGCCCCGATCTGAGGTGCAGACCTCGTCAAGTCTCGTTCCCACCCCGGTGGCTGTCGCCTCTCTGTGGCCACCTTGCCACCTCCTCCTTGGGTCCTGTTTCTGAAATGGGCTCTTTGAGGGGGTCTGGTCACCATTCTCATTTTGCCTTAGACGTTTCTTCAGGTAAGTTCTGTTGAATGTATGCCAGGCAGACATCTGCTGGACGCCCCGTTAAATATCCCAGCCCTAACATCTGCAGTGTCCTTATTTCAAACGGAACTCTGTTTTCTGAAAAGCTGCCCTGACTTCAGAAGAAATGGCGATTTTCGTTGAAGGCTCATGTGCTTACCCAGTGATAGGAAACGGTGCAGCAGCAAGTCCTGTAAAATATTCACAGCTGACGGCCTCCCGTGGCCTTCGACTCAAACCGACGGGCACGTGTTTGTCTGGTCCAGAAGCTTTCAAGGCTTTGCAGCAGCCCTACGTCTCAGGGCCTACCACCCATCAGGGGCATCCAGGCTGCTGAGGCCCTTCTGTGCCAGACTCTTCGGTGTGTCCACTGCTAAAGAAAGCTGGGCATGGGCCCGACACCACAATGCCAGCCACGTGCAGGGTGAGCGCACCGCAGCGGAGTAGGGGCACGCTGCATAGAAGTGACGCTTTGATGGCGCTGTCCTGCTGTCTGCATCGGCCAACACCTCCTCTGGGGTCTCGTGTGCCTCCTCACCAGGCACCTTAATCCCGATTCTGTGCAGCCTGCAACCCCAGTTCTGCTGACCAGAAGCATTCTGCAGGCACTGGCTGGCTCTCTGCCCATGCAGAGCTTGAGACAAGGCTGAGACCTGTGATCACTCATTTTGCTGAATCATCGACGTGCCTGTGAGGGCACCAGTGACCCCCAAAGGGAACTGGGAGGAACCAGCTACCATTCGGCCTGAACCGTCTCTAGCCTCCACTGAATTATGCATATTTCCCATGGGTTCAGGCTGATTCCTGCGTCACAGACCTAAGTTGTACATACAGGATGCTATGAGCCCATAAGGTGCACGGCCTCGTGCAATTTGTTTTCTACATTAATTCCGACATAAATTAAAACTATAATTCTTTCACTAGGATAGCCCAAAATATTTTTAAATTTCTGGCAGGTCGCAGGTCTCCTCGCTCATCTTTTCCAAAATATCTTGAATATAATAATATACACAAGACACAGAGTTATTATTTCAGTTGAAATTTGGAATCATTTGCTCATGTTCCAAATAACATATCTGTATTATACTTATAAATAAATTTTGGAAAAAGTACTTCTGTGTGAAACGAACATAGAAATACTAAAAAAGTGACAGCTGTTTGAAAGATCATCGAAAGGAAATTCTTCTCTGTAACAACAAACCCAGGAAGGCGAGCGGTCCCCACCGCAAGACTTTTCCTCCCTGCGTTAGGAGAAAGCAGACTGTTTGCTTCATCGGCACATGATGTTGCGGGCAGAGAGAAAGGGACCGTGACACACGCGGGGAGGGATTCTGGGGGAGTCGCATTCTAGAAAACACTGGCCGTAGATCTAAAACTCTTACCAAGAACATTTTCTAGGCTTTGACTCATTAATTTCACTGACAGAACTCTATCTCAAAACTATTATCAGAGAGGCAATGTAATATTTATGCATAAGGAGCTGACTGTTCTATTGTTTAGAAAAATAAAAATAAAAAATAAAAAGATGTGACCTAAATTTGCAGGAATAAGAGGTAAATAAATTAGGGTTCACTCAAATGCCAAGTTATCCAGGGAATGAAGACAATGTATTTGTGAAGAAATGTTAATGGCAGATAAAATGTCCCTGATATTAAACAGGGGAAAACAGCAGGATTTTAAGTATCGTATTTAGGACGACCCAAAAGCAATATGTAAGAAACATTTAGGTCCACACACACCAGAAACACACACGCCGGCATACGTAACAGGTGAGGGCACGGCCTTCAGAAACAAATAACCGGATTTAAATCCCAGCTGTGCTGCTTCCCAGCTGTTCCCCCGGAGACCGGGGGTACCAGACCCGCCTCACAGAGCTGCATCCACAGTGAACGAGGTAATTCGTGCCGACAGCTCGGTGCCACGCCTGGCACACCGCAAGCACCCACCACCCACCGGCGACATCAGCGTCACTAACACAGGAAACGCACCCCAAGCTGACGCGGGCATGGCTGGGCGGGAGCATTCGCGGGCCCTTCCATTCTCTCCTTTACACCCTTTTGTCCCTCCAGCTTCTAAGTCTCATGGAATCAGAAAGGAACACGCATTGTAAGGGAGGCTGCTTGCCCAACTGCTAGCATCTGCTGCGTGCAGAGACGGATGCGTGCAGCAAGGGCAGCGTGTTGGCCACGGTGGGGCGGGGAGGGGGGCGGCGAGGCCTTTCACCCATCCCTGGGGGTTCCCACCTCCCCTCCCTCCGGAGCCTCGCTACTCACGGGCGCGGTGCCTCGGAAGCCGTCCTCGCCGGAGTCGGTGACGGGAAACTCGCCCTGCCAAATGTTGGCGTAATGCTGGCCTTTCGGCTGTAGTTTGTTGCCCCAGGGGAAAAGTCTGTGGAAAAGACACAGGCATCAGCCTGCCACGGGCACAGGCTCCCGGGCTGAGGGCGAGAGAATGCGATGCACAGGGCGCCCTGCTCGCTTCTTCTGAGCGAGCTATTTTATTTTTTATTTTAAATATATAAAGAAAGCTTTTCATCAGGATTTTTCGTTAACTTCTGCATAACTAGCTCACATCAAGTTGACAACAGCCTGTCACTCTGGAGCACTCAGGAGGCCTGAAATGAACGGCATAGCTAAAAGGACTTATAGCAAGAAGGCCGGGAAAGCGGACATCGCTCTGGACTCATGTGGCAGCATGATCAGGCACCATCACGCCGCACTTCTGTATAAAGGCTTCGCTATTTTAAGGAGCCTTTCCTAGAAGACGTGACCCCGCCGTGAGTTTTCCGTCTCGTGGCTCTGAAAGCGGAGAGACGTCTGAAACAGCGAACGCTGAGCGCAAGGCAGCGGGCCCAGAGGCTCCGTGGAAGGCTACGCCGCGCCAGGGCCCTGACTGCTGGGGGTGCTCGGGGCTGCAGGAGCCCACTCGGCCACTGCTCAGCCGTGTGCGGCTGAGAGCGGGTGCTGACCCGCCCGTCGGGGTCTCCTAAATAATTTCACGGACATGAGGGAAGCCAGGACGACAAAGCTGTACTGTGGTTTAGGTCAGCTTTCTAACCTAAGCAAGGCGCAGGGGTTTAGGAAAAGGCCAGCCCACTGCGGGGCAGGACGGGCCCGAGCACCTGTTGTGCAGGCCGCCCCGACAGCCGTACTCCCACTCAGCCTCCGTGGGCAGCCGCTTCCCCGCCCAGGCGCAGTAGGCCGCGGCATCGTTCCAGGACACGTGGAGCACCGGGTGGTCTGGCCTGGCAGGGAGAGAGCAGAGGGACGGTGGCATGTGCTGAACGGGCGACAGCTCCAGCTTCAGACAAGCGCCCATGGGACCGCGGTGGTCCTGGTCCCCAACGCGAGCCCCCACCGTGCCACATCGGTCACCCCCCACCACGAGATCCTGGCACCCGATGCCCTCAGATCTGTAATTACTCTTAAAAGTGGACTCGAAACACTTGCTGGCTTCGCAGGCAGTCCAGCCCGCATGGAACTCACTGGGTCCTGGCAGGTGCACGTGGGGGTGCGTCACCCAGATGCCTCTGAGGGGCAGTGCTGTCCCCGCTGCTGAGAGTGCTCTCAGCCGAAGTGCCCCGCTGTCCGCTCCTTCAGCTTCCCCACAGCTGCGGAGAGCTGCTCGGGGCCGCCGAGGGCTGACCACGGCAGGGGCACAGGCCCAGCCATTTCGGCCACCATAGCTCCATCCTGTGGGCCGTGCAGAGCCCGGGGCCCTGGCGAGAGTGGCTGGGACTCGGATCCGCACTACAGTCCCAGCGTCACCCTCCACCTGATCCTGCTTCCACCATGTCCCTCCCCGAGTACAGACGCTCAATCCCAGCGTCTGGGTCCAGGGGACCCAACCAGTGACATGTGGCTTTAAACTCTGTGTCTTTCCACTAGGATTAGCCAACTAATCTGCGTCATTCTAGCAGAGTCCAAGTAAGTGCTTGTTTCTTCTAAGGGCACAGGGGACTGGGAGGGTTCGGGGGAAAGTCTGAGAATCGGGGGTCCACATGTTCGCCCAGCACCAGGTAACTGTGACGCCCTGTCCCCTTTTTCCGGCGGACCGCACAGAACCTGTCCATTCCTTAAACACCTCTGAATTCCCTGTGGTAATGACACCAGGACTTTACCTCTTTTTCCGGCGAATGTTTACTGAGCGCCTTCCCGTGCCAGTCACCCTCTGGAGATGGACTCGATCAGCGGATAAAATACAAGCTCCCCCCGCCCAGGTTTTCCTTCTGCCCCTGGCTTTTTCTTCTACTATTCAATCCAGGAAAGATGGTATCGGTTGGGCGCTAAGAGGCCCGGTCACACTGAGGAGGCCGAGAACGCTGTGTGTGACTTCCCGCCTCCCAGTCCACTTCCACGGTAGGGCTGCTGACTCAGGCTCTGTAAGCCATCTGCCATTTCTCAAGGGGCCATGGCCCCAACGCAGGCTCCAGGGACTCCCAGCTCCCTGGCGCTGACGGTGATAACCACGAATGCTGTCAAAAACAGGGGCTCAAAATCCCGTCTGAAAAAGGAGGTTAGGAGGGCAGTTTCCTTGGGCCGTGGAGATGCTGAGTCCTGACCGAAACCTTTCTCCATCTCCAGGGCTGGAAGCGCTACTCTATTTCTGCTCGAAATAATTACTTCCCTGCCACCCCGAGACTTGCTGACCGACTTGCCGCTCTGCGGATTTCAGTCAGATGGCAGCTCCAAAGTATGTCACTCCAGGACTGGAGGTGACAGGAATCCTCCAGCAAAAGCCTGAGCTTCCACAGCGGCCACCTGGCAGGACACAGCTACCAAGTCTTCGTCCTCATACTGACCCACTCATGACTGGAGCAATGGACAGGTTGCAAAGATTAAACATGTCATGAGATTTGCAATTGGCCTGCACAGGTGAAAAAAAAAACCTACAAGAAGCAATTTTTTCACAGGACAAATGAGGAAGGAAAGAGGCCACTTACTAAGAGCCTTCTATGAGCTAGGCAGTGTTGGGTCTTTACACACATTATTTCTTGCCATTTTATTTCCCTGCCATTCAGAATTTGTCATTCTCACCCTTTTACAGGTGAAGACGGCCACCGAGCCCCTCGCGACAGCACAGGAATCTATTCTGGAACGAAACGCGTCAACAGGGGGAAGAACCGCCAGCCTCACCTGTGCACCACAGTGGAGTCGGGCCCTTCTGGGTGTCTCCAGTCAGCGCCTTTAACCGGCAACCACCAGGGAGCAGCTGCAACCTTGAAGCAACCAGAACAAGCCGGGGTTAGCCACGACGGCGCTGGAAAGCCCCGACTCGGTGTGTGCGGCACGGACCTCACTCGCGGTCTTCGGCTTCCCATTCGAGTTACCAAACGAGTACCTTTATCAGAATGGCGAGTGTAAAAATTTACATGCAAATAATTCTTTAACAAAAAAGGTATTATTTCATATCATTAAGTGACACAGTGACCAAATAAATGTGCATGCAAATGGTGTTATCTCCAAGGATTTTTAAAAGATGCTCTGCTGGTGAGTCTGCTAAGCCTTATAAGTGAGAGACAGGCAGTGCCGCTCCCAGCCAGAAGATGAGGGAACGGAGTCGACCTTACAGCTGGGTGCTGGGCGGAAGGTCGACCAAGGCGGCCAAAGGTCAAGCTGAAGCACACGGTGGAAAGCTGTGTTTTCAAAGGCCGCGGCTCGACTCCCAGCCCAGCACTCGCGGGCAAACTCGCTGGCTGTGAGCCCCGCAGAGTCCCTGTCTGTGACATGGGTGCAGCCCCTGCCTCGCCAACCTTGGATGCCGGGTGCCCCAATCAGACAGGACTGGGAAGTGCTCACTGGCTGTTCCGGCCTTAATTCCTGCCTCACGATTCTGTGAACCCAGGTAGCAACAGCACCTGGTCCTCATTTGGTGACTGGTTAAGAACTTGGCCTTGGAGCTAACGATCTGAATCCTGGCTCTGCCACTTGCGGTGTGACCTCGGCAACCCACTGACCTCGTCCAAGCCCACTTTCTTGTTTGGAAAACGGACAGGGATGACGCTGCCTCACGGGTGATCACAAGGAGGGGCTGTGGCACACGCGGAGGGCCAGGCCTACGCCTGGCACTGTGCGAGCCCTCAGGAACGGGGCCCGCCTCCACCGTGGCCTCCTGACAGCCGCCATCACCGTGGCTGCTAGTGCACACTGAGAGCAGTCTGCAGCGCCCCCTCTGATGAAAACCAGAGTGGGCTCAGGGCGAGCCCTCACAGCCACCTGCACCCAATGAGCCTGGCTGAGTGCCGGGGGTGGGGGTGCCCCCACTGACCACCACGGCAGTCACTAACACACCGACCCGCTCGTTCCTTCTGTTTTCACATCAGCACAATCAAAACATGGTATTCTAACCACAGTTTGATGGGAAAATCCAGATTCTTTAATTTTTCAACAAAAGAGGCATTCTGTTCTCCAAGGACATTGCTGGAAGGAGTTTTATTTTTCAGAGGGCAGGAGAGGCGAGAGGCATGGCTTCTTCCTATTTCACCTGTGGGGCTGCAGAAACTTTAATCAGGGATGTCCGCCTGACTAGACTGCTTGATGCTCGGGTGCCAGTGACATGTGACCCATTCCATCAAGAACGGCGTGCGCGGAAAACCCAGGTCGCTGCTCTTGAGTTTCAGTATCTTTGGACGCTCACCTGACTCTACCCCGCCCCCAACACCGGTAAGATAGGCCGTGGAAGCTTCTCTTTTATAATTTAAAAAAAAAAAAATCTAAAAAAAGACAAATATGGCGAAACGTTAACTTGAGTTAAACCTGGGTGGTAGAAACGAGACTGCCTGTTTCCCTTGTACCTTCTGTGCTTTGAAATATTTCATCATTAGTAACCTGGAAACCTGCTTCTTGAAACCCACCCTGCGGCCGATGGCACCTGCGAGCTGCCGTGAACGGCGCCAACTGCATGCGCCACCTGCATGCGCGTTCTGAAGACGCCCGACTTCTGGGACAGGCGCACGCGCGTCCGCTAGCCGCACCCTGGAGCGGAACGGCTGGGCTCGGGGTGCGCACGCGCAGCTTTAGCAGTGACAGCCAGACCGGGCCGTGGGAGCAGAAGTCCTCCAAGGTCCCACCCTTTTTCAAGGGAAGCGTCCACGGAGCTGGACCCAAGGGCGGCTGCTCCAGTGGCCTCGTGGGACAGTCTCTCTCCCCTTGCCCTCAGGTCGCCCTGGTAACAGATACTCCCTGAGCACCTACTGCCTGCCAGGTGCTCCCCCTAATTCCTGAAGGGGAGCCCCACTCCCAGGAACCCTCTAAGCCACTTGGGATACTGATAGTTTTTAATTGTGTATTTTATATATTCATCTTACATGGTTAATCGCACAAAGCGGGGCACAACCTGTGAACCCAGTCGCCTGGTTTTTCTATAAACTGTCTATAAAACTCCACTGGCGGGCCCAGGTGCCACCTTACACCCACCAGTGCTTACGCCTGGAAGACTCGGTCTCCTCCCCGCTGTACACACACCTCTCATTCTCTTTTCTGAAACCTTCCACGTCACCTTAGCAACCAACCAATCAGACCACTAGCTTACTGGACTTGAAGTCACAGAGCTATATGACGATCGCTCATCTCGGTGGAGTGGGAAGCAGAGCCCAGCTGAAGCACGGGGAAGGGGACACCACAGTGACCCGGTCCTCATCCACCAGCCACAGCCCAGTCCTTCTCCGGCAGTAAGAGCTGAGGTGCATACGCAGACGTATATGCACGGTATTATTACTGCCGATAAAAATTATAAAATGACCCATCTTTGGCATCCGTCCATCCAACTACAGGAAAACTACAGTTACAAAATACCCTCCCATACGGAAATGGGTATATAATTGACCATAAAGACAACCCATGGAACACATTCGATTGTTTTTCTGTGAAATATACATATGTGAATGTATGCTATTATAATCAGAAGTCTGGAAGAATACACTGCCTTCAACAGGGGTCAAGGGCTGGGAGGATTTCTCAGTCTCGGCACTACTGACACAGGAGCCAGATAATTCCTTGGCGAAGCGGGGCGGTCCTGTGCATTGCAGGGTGTGTAGCAGCATCCCTGATCTCTCCCTACTAGATGCCACCAGCACCTTTCCCCACTCTCGACTGTGGCCAAAAAAAAAGTCTCCAGACATAGCCAAATGTCCCCTGGGAGGAGCAAAATAACCCACTGCACTGATAATCAGAAAAAAAAAAAAAAAAGGTTCGTCTCAAATGTGAATATAAAGCTGACAGTGGCGCAGAATGCCCGGCCCGAGGCCAGGCTGCCCGCGTTCGAACAGAGCTGCACGACCTTGGGCTCCTCACGTAACCTCTCGAAGCCTCAGTTTCCTCATCCGGAAAGTGGGGACACTACTATTAGCACCTACCTCCTTGGGTTGTTGTGAGGATTAAATAAGGAAACATATGTAAAGAGCTTAGAACGGTTCCTGGTACACAGCAAGAATCACAGAAATGTTAGCCGTCATCACCGCTTTAATTCACGTACGTTACTGCATGCTGCAATATTCTCTCAGAACTTTCAAAGAACATATATTCCAATAGTGAAAATCTGCCCCCAATACATCTTCGCTATGAGCCGAGCCACCTGCCAGTTCACCCTTTTCAGAAGACTAATAGGCCAAGAAGAGAGTAAGAACATGTGTCACCCCAAAGAATTCTCAGGAGGAGAACACAACTGCCATTTCCATCACAGCCACGACGTGAGCAGCATCTGCACGTAACCAGCCCGTTCCCTGAAGCATGTAGCACATGACAGTGGGGCTGGCCAGGGGCGCCCCCATGCACCAAGCCCCAGGCTAGACCAAGCTCAGGGTCCTGCAGGAGCACACCACACGCCTATCTGTGAGGAAGACCTGGCGTCCCCACTGTGACGGTCAGACGCAGAGTCAAGAACTAGTTCATCAGGTGTCATGGGAACAGAGAAAGACAAGTAACTGCGTCACCCCACAACAGAAGACTGATGAAACCACAGAGAGGACAGCCCAGCCAAGTTGCCATGGGAAATTCACAATGTTTTCTGGCCAAAGTTATGGCAAATCCCAACCAACGTCACCAGATGCCTTCCTTTTGCACATGTCACGTTTATAAAAACCTGTTCTTGAACTCCCGATTATGTCTTGAAAATAAATATTATTCTACTATGTTTAGGAGCTTGTGAAATAAACAACTTTTGAGAGTCACATATGAGCCAGTTAATGAAGATTCTTTTTAACAGGAATGGCCTTCAGCTGCGCTGTGTGCTGGGTACCAGCAGCGACGTGAGTGGACTGGCATCTATCATAAGCCTCATCCTGAAGAGAGAAAATTTTCTGGATGTGGTTGCCCACCCACGCATTTTCTGTTCAATTGAGACACTTCTAGAATCACATTCCCTTATATCCAGGGGGAAAAGGACTTTAACTTGACCTATTTCTAGTCAAGTATCTCCATAGCAACTGTCTTGAGTTTAAGTTGAAACAGCTGTAGCAGACAGCCAGCGACCAATTACAATGTAAATAGGATCCGTGTGAGCACTGGCGTCCCCTTGAGAAATGGACTTGGAAGAGCAAAGTCAACTTTTCCCACTTCCCCCTGGGGACATAGCCAGACATGTAGTAACAGCTTTTAAGAAAAGAAAAGGGGAAGAAAGCAAAGTGCCTTTATTCCTGCCAGAGGTGGTAAATGATGCTTCGTACACGCACAGTCTAGAATAAGCCAGCACAGGAAAAGAACAGAGCACTGTGCAATTATGCGCATTTGAGTGTAAAGATGGCAAGTTCACAACTTTATAACTGCTCTCTTAAAAATTAAATGCGTTTAGACAAGCAAATTAAAAAGACGGACGTTTCTTGAAATGTAATAAAAACATGACAGTCACCCCTATAAAAACAGCCTGCGGGGATTTTTCGGCTGGCACCAGTGAGCAATGAGAAGTACGGATCTGTTCAGATTCATGAAGTATAAACAAAACTGGAAAGAATCGCGTAACTGAAAAAATCGAATGGACTAGAAAGCGCACAGTGAGTGAAAATCTCTTTGTTCGGCACCCAAAACAAACACGGAAAGCAGAAAACTGAGCTTGAAAAAGGGAGTAAAAGCAAATTCATCATTAAAACAGGTAGGCAGTCAAGTCTGACAGCTTATTTCAAATTAATTCTAAATCAGGTATCTTGACTACTTAATAGAATATGTGTGAAAGAAAAATGCATGCTTTTTCATACACAGTACAAATATTTATAAAACTTAAGAAAAA